GAAGACGTCTTGATCTACGCCTCCCGACACTTCTTGCTGTTGGGTCGGAGGGAGCTGAGAGACGCTGTGCGCAACATCTGCACCGACGGGCGCAAGGTGCCCTGGGACCCAGACAAGGGCCCTGGGGACAGCTGGCTTGAGGGGTTTATGGCGAGACACCCGGGTTTGTCGGAGCGAGCCACCCACATCTACGAAGCAAACCGGATTAACGAAGACGGCGAGCCTCGCCTTCAAGCTTTCTACAAAGCATGGGCGGAGTACCTGGAGGAGACCAAGCTCCCGCCGGAACGCATCCTCAACACGGATGAGACAAGTGAGTTAGGGCAAGGGTTGAGGTGTCAGTAGGTGTCATTGGGTGTCAGCGGTGTCAGTATCGACTGCTGTGGGTTCGTAGGCGAAGTACCAGCAGCACTGCGATGTGTCACAACAACGCGGAGTTCTGCTGCTGCAAAAAAAAAAGATCCAGCAGTTGTCCCGCATATCTTCCGAGCCGTTGCTGCTTGTCATGCGCGTAGCACACAACACGCCCGCATGTTTGCTGCTGGAGTCGGCTGAGGTTAGCATGTAACAGTCCCTGTGGTCATCTCAGTTGCACTCTGCCGCATGATTGCATGTGTACATCGTTTTCTGTTGTGATGCTACCGGCAACAGCGGGCGTGTGTTCTTGGTCTGCAAAATGCATGTGTGTTGCTGAACGACGCGCGAAGTGCAGACTAGTCTAGTCACGTCGAGACTTCAGTAGAACGCTTTGTTTTTGTAAACCCACCTACGTTTGGAGCTCAATGCAAACTGCCATGGGTGTGGGGTTATTGTTTCGCACCCAAAGTTTAAACGAATCCGACACTTGCCGCACAAAAAATGGCCTTCACCACTGCTGTGTGCCACCACCCGGAGCGAGCAGCACCCATGTGTGTTTGTACGCGCGTTTTTTGTGTGTCTAGTTTACTGATTGTTCAACTGTCTTTACCCCCGATGCGCGCGTGTTGTAGGTTCGACCCCTCAAGGTACAAAGTCGGGGAAGGCAATCGTCGCAAGAGGCACCAAGGTACCCGGCGCGAGGCGTTCCAATTCGCGAGAAAATACGACGGTGGTCGCCACCATCGGTGCCGACGGCCACACGTTCCACCCTACCATCATCTTCAAAGGCCAGCGTATGCAACCCGCTTGGATCCAGGACAACAACGGCGTCCCCGATGCGAAGTACACCGTCACGGAGTCATCCTTCATCCAGAGCCACGTCTTCCTGGACTACCTTCGAGACCTCCGCAAGCAGCTCGATGCGCGCGGCTTGCTGGGCAAAGCTGCCCTTGTGCTCGACGGCCACGCCTCACACACGACCTTCGACGCCATCAGCTTGGGCATCTCCCTGGACATGGACCTATTCCAGCTTCCATCCCACACATCGCACATCACCCAGCCCTTGGACGTCGGTACGTTCGGAACCTTCAAGATGGAGATCACCAAGGTGCTCACGGCCTACCCGCTAAAGAACGGGGGGAGGAGTCCGGTGAAGCGCGACATGGCTGGCGTGATTGCGGAGGCATGGGCAGGGAGCTTCACGCCTGAGAACAACAAGGCGGCGTTCAAAGGGTCGGGCTTGTGGCCGGTGAGCATGGAGAAAGCTATCAACAGACTACACAGCAAGAGGAAGCAACGGGACCATGACCGCCCTATTCGTGAAGACCTCGCCGTGGTTGCCTCTAAGGATCAACTCGAGCGAGACCTCGGCCGCGCTGCCCTCCTGGAGCTGAAAAGACACGGGCTGATGATCGAGGGGCTCCGTGTCAACACCGTGTTCCTTGGCGGGCTCACCCGCCTCACCAAGCGCACCAAGGCTTTCGCGACCGTTCGGGCGGGGGGGGGGAAGCCCGAAGGTGGTCTGCTGTCCGCCGAAGAACATCTTGCTCAGGCCAAGAAGGACCAAGAAGCGAAGCAGGCAGCTGAGGAAGCAAAGGCGGCACGCGCGGAGGCAAGGGCAACGAAGGAGGCCAACCAACAATCTGGAGCAGTTGGTGGGCGGGGCGGCGGGCAGGGCGGCGGGCGGGGCGGCGGGCGGGGCGGCGGGCGGGGCGGCGGGCGAGAGGGGGGGAGAGGTGGAGGGCGCGAGGGTGGGAGAGGTGGAGGGCGGAGCGGGGGGCGTGGCGAAGGACGGGGCGGGGAACAGGACGGAGGGCGGGGAGAGAGGAGCGTGAGGGTTGAGCTAAGCGGGACGCGGACGGCGATCAGGGGGCGCGGTGGCGGTGGGCGAGAGGGGCGTGGCAGAGGACAGGGTGGCCAGGACCGCACCACTGGTGCTCGTGGAGAGCAAATGGGGGCGGGAGGGCGGGGGGGGGACGAGGGGAGAGGTGCTCCCGTCCAAGGAGGAGCGGGACGGCCGAGAGGGGCGGCGGTTCCCTTGGTTCACCCGCCGCCGTCGGCGGCTCCCATTTCTTCCCGAGGACGGCAGCGGATCCCGACACCAATCGTTGATGTTTAGACCAGGGCAGATGCTTTGCGGTTGTTGTTGTTTTTCTGGGCTACTATTGTCTAGGCGGTGGATGAATTAGACTATACGAGTAAAGCAGAAGATTAGGTGGTTTGTGGGGGCATGTGGAGATGGTTAGGGTGCACCCCAGCAGCGCGGGGGGGGCGGGGGGGTTGATACCGGGAAACCCGGGGATATGGTAATTTTGTCCCCGGGCATGCATGATTTTTTTTTTTTTTTGCAACAGCGTTTCTTGTGATAAAACAAACCTACACACCAAAGGGCGTCTTGTGGGAATGTAAGATGACTGTGAAAAAAGGGAAATGGCCTTGGGGTTCTTGCGGAGAATTATAGCGGTAGCGGCCGGGTCAAGGGGTGCCTGTTTGAACGGGCATTACATCACATGCGCGAAGTTTTTCGTCCTAATTTTTTTTTCTTGAGTCTGTATATGATCAGATTAGACCCACTGTGCAATAATCTCTTAGTTTTGGCTCTTTTCATGTGTGCAGCACCGCCGTACGGTCAAAAATGGGGTAAAATCCGTCCCCGATTTCAGGCGGAAAACCCGGGGATGTGAGGATTTTGTCCCCGGGCGTGGATCGATTCCATTTTTTTTTTTCCTTAACGGATATATGTTGCGACAGACGTATCTCCACAAAAAATCAGATCATGANGGTACTGATGCTGATTACCAACACCAAACATACCAGGAAACCAGCTAACACGATACAAAGACTCGAAATAAGTCCAGTATCCAGCCGGTTTCCCTCCACTTACTGAAAAGACTCCACCACATCCCGTTCGACTGCTGTGGGTATATCTCGAATGGGTAGTCTTTCTGTGCTTGTGTTTATTTCTCCTAAATGTATTGAAACAAGCCGTGTGATAATGTTGTTGTTGCATACTCACAATATCGNACACTTTATTGGCTTGGTCTACGAATAGTCTACCCCACCGGCGCCGGCGGTGGTGGGACGAGTTCGGCGGGGATGATCAGTCTTATTCGCCCCACGGCTGTCTCGCCCTGCAAGAACAAGAAGACTCGAATCAACACGGCGACCCACAATAGTATGTATGAAAGTTGATGCGTTTGGCGGCTATCGTGGGACCCATCATCGGTGATGCTGCCGCGGCCGGTGGGAAATCACGGATCCACCCGACAAACTGCTGGGGTAGATGGCCTAAATTGAAAGTTATGCCTGCGCGGTGATCACCTACCTCTGTTACAGGGTTGGGTCCCGTTGGTTGTCGAAGGAGCTCGTCTGTAAGAATTGAGAAGAAGGCAGAATTTCCAGCTGAGAATTTCGGTATCCCGTGAATGTCTACAGCAGGATTCCCCAATAAAAACTGTGGAAAACTACGTGAGTGCTGCAGAGAAAGACCGTTCGAGACATAACCACAATGGAAGGAATGTGTTCAGTATGTCGGTGGTGTGGCACTACCACCGCGTAGTGACGTTCTAAACAATGTGCGGGTATATGTATGTATGTATGTATGTATGTATGCATGTATGTATGTATGGATGTATGTGGTCCTCAGAAATAACGAAGCGACTGACACCAACCACGCGCACCATACATCAACAGCTGATGATCCACCACCGAACAATTTGTTACAGTATGATAAGCGTTCCGTTGAATTAGCGTTTTGTACGAGCGTTCTGTATCGTATGCGTATCATCTGCGTATTTTCGACTTTCTCAGTAGTCTGCCATCATCCGTATCATTTCACTTTGACGAGGATGATCAGGATTATCATTCCAGCCCCGCCCCCGCACTCTTTGTTTCAGAGCTGAGGGAACCTGGTCCTGAAGGATAGTCAAAATCGTGATTGCCAAAGAGTGCCTTAAGCAAGGAGCTCGGTGGACGTTGTAGTGAGCTTATTTATTAGGCAGCATGGAGCGCATCCAACCACTTCGTGCAGGTTAGCTGCTCCACTCCACTCCGTTTTCTTCCTTATCCTTCCCTTCTCCCTCAGCCGCTCGCTATCGCTCACTCCCAGGCAACACTGAGCAAGAGTGAACACTGAACACCGCTTGCTGTTCTGCTGTAACAATTCTACTACCATCTTTCGGTAGCATGGCCGCAAACCATGAAGATCCTACGCAATCGCGAAATATCTCTGGATTATCCGTTCTGATGGTACTCATCCCCCGGATCCAACGACCACCCTGAGGTGGGTGCGCGATGCCAGGTGCGAATCCTCCAACAAGGAGCTGGGCGCTAGAACCATCGCCAAAGACTTATACATGTTTCGATACCTCCGTCATGCAGACAGATGGTGCTGTCTCCTACAAGAGTAAGTTTGGATTGGCCATGGACGAGGCTTACAAACCCGCCGGGTAGAAAATACAGGCGAATCGTTATATGAAGCCAACACTTTCCCGGTGTCGGTACGTCTTGTCGGCAACGCACCTCGTATTCACATCATTCACGGTACCCAGGTGGGGTCAAGCTGGCACTTTTGGACAAACTAGTCTATAAATACAGTCATGCAAGACCACGGGTCATGCAATAACTGCTTGGCCGCTAGGGCCACGGGGGTCGCCAACTGCAAAGGAAGCACCCTGTCCACCACCATGACACTTGATTGAAGGTAGGGCTCAAAAGAGTGCAAGTCGAATGACACAGATTGTGTTTGTTCCTCACTCGCGAAGAAGAGTTCAACAGAGAGAAAGACATGAACACTGCAGATGCCGTTGTATTGTTGTACCATTAAAGCCCTTGAACGACACATAATGCGTTTGTTCCTCACTGAAATAATTCAAGAGAAGGGGAAACACATGACAACCACAGGAGACATTACCACGTCGATCACCCAATTGCTATGCCTTTGGAAACCTTCCTGCCGGTTGTCTACAAAAACTTCCGCCTACCGATAGCAATTCCTGCGAACCTACAGTACAGAATTTTCCGCAGTAGCATGCTAGCTGAACACGCGTGCAAGGCAACTACCACTGAGCAATCTCTATCATCTACTTCTTGGGTCGCCCCTCCATGTACGCCACGATCCTCGGCTCGGCCATAATCCTCTGCACGAGAGAGGACAGGAGGGGGAACTCTTCCAAGAGGGTCGAGGGGACGCCCTCGAAGGTACCGTCTGTGAGCCAGTTCAGCCGTGCGACAACCGCGATGTCGCCGATGGAGAGCTGCGACAAGGAAGCAAGAAGAAGTGTCGTCGAGGCCACGGAACGAACGTAAGAGACCACGGAACGAACGTAAGAAATGAATCGGTCACAAAGGCCACAGCGCGACTAGGCTACCGCCTCCGGGTAACGGGGCCAGAGAAAAGAAAAACTTGCTTCCAGGCTGGGAAGGAGTTCGGCGAGTAGAGTGAAAATGGCACGCACGTGTTTGTCGGCTACCAAAATATTTATAATGACATGAGCAAGTATCCAACTCTTGTGCCACACCAGTATCGGATACGAGATGCTCCCTTATGTACCCATTGATTGAGCTGATGCGGGCAATGTGATGCACGAGCGAAGGAGCGGGTGAGCGGTGGTACGCGTGGCGAAAAAAACAGTAGCAACACTGAAGAGTGTGCTACAATGTTCGTCATCTTCTTACCTTGTCGCCCGCGAAGTACTTGCCGCCAGCTAGCTTCAACGCCTTCTCCGAATTGGTCAGCCACCTGCGAAAAACGTTAAAACCAAACGTGGTTGGAGGGTACACGAGGAGGGGACGGGTGTGTGTATGTGTGTGTGAGTGTGAGAACAACGTTGCCTCGTTTCAAGCTATGCATCAAGCGCATGGTCACTCGCTTGTTCTAATACCACCACCGTCTTCACGCCCTACATGTGTGAACACCTCGTTCGGAAGCACGGCGGTGAGGCAAGTACTAGCGACTTCCCATCTCGCCACGGGGTCAACGTCTCGTTATCGCACATGGTATGCATGTAGCCGAACACGGTTGTTGAGCGCCCAGATACCAAATATACACACTCAGATCCCCCCAGTACGAGTTTGATTGCAGCAGCAGATGAAGGCGGGGGGGAGCAAAGGCCAACGTTGAGGCGGCACTCACGGTGGGAGAAGGGTCTCGACCAGGTCTTTGCGCAGTTGCGCCTGCGATCAGGGCAAGAGACGTCGGCGCGAGCAAAGACAAAGGAGGCGAGAGAGAGGGAGAGACGAAAGTGTTGATAGATGCGTCATGGCATCAAACCTCGCTGAGGAACAGCATGGGTGGCTGAACGGGTCGACCGAAAGAAAGTTTCGGCCACATGGGAAATCCAATGCGTACTGCTTCGACGACGTTCAAGCCTGTGCCAAACCGATCAAGTCACGCGTCCACTGAAAACGCACGGTGGTATATAGCAACCGCTTTGCCACCGATTACAAGAACAACACTACATATACCTCGTGGAGTGGCAGCAGGAACTCTCTCCTCCATCAGGACAGCAACAGCCAGCGCCAAAGGAATACATGAACGAACAACTTTGGAATCTCCAAGGTTTGGAATCTACATATTTCGCAATCCATTCCCTCCAGTGATACGATTTGCTGGTCCCTCGTCAACTAATGAACTTGGCTCCAAGGGTCGTGTAGAAGCAAGGTAGGTCGGGGGTTGGGGTGGGGGAAGAAGGCTTGTTCTTCATACCCGGAGCACATCACTCGGTGGCAAGTAGACGCTTGAGAGCGACGGCAACTTGGGGGGGGGGGGGGGG